TGGTGGGGCCCGCATGAGCTCAGCCCCATCCTTTTTTATTTTATATTTTTACAGCTTAATACCCAAAATTAGCACTTTTGAAACAGGAAGTGAAATAGAGGGATATGAGGCATGGCTAGAATGTTTGGTATTTTGAGCAAAACACTTCATCGACATGTTTTTTATATATTTGTATATGTCTGAGATATGCTATTGCCTAAAAATAGCATGATAGGTGACCTTTAACTTTAGCAGAAGAAATTATATGATAAACGCTTTGTATGTTAGCCCTGGCAACTTTACAAAGTGATAATATGTCAGTTGTGTTTTTCTTTGCTGCCCCCTAGTGGCCAAAACGACTCTCTATTAATGCTTTAGGCCTGTTGGTGTGAAGCCTTGAAAATGTTGGTTGCCTGACAGTGACCTCTGTGGTTTGGTTGATTGTAACGCACAGCTCTCCTTGTTAACAGAGCTGCAGTTCAACAGAAATCAATTAGTGGAGAGTGATGTCAAATGCTGATTGATTATTCCTTTAGGCGGTGTAAAGGAAACTAATGGAGGCGCGCGGTGGGAAATCTGTTCAAATGTGTTCTGGCAACAAGATATGATGATACGTTTATATGTCTTCACTCTTATAGCACATACTTGTTCCAAACTGTGGGAACCCACCGTCCTCAAATAGTGTGTGGTTAAGAAAATAGATTCTGCACAAAACCCACACTGTGCTTCCCCTGAGCTACTTCAGAACATTTGGAAACCATTCATGGATTGCATTAACACTAAGCTCTGAGCAGCAGTTCCATCTGTATCTTTAAAATAATCCTAACAAGATCATCTGACTGAAATGTGGTATTTATTTTGTGTTGCTGTTGGGAAAACGTTCTGTGGGAGAGAAATTTCCTCTGGAGGGGATTTCAGCCTTTTCATACCATGTACATGCACAACAACCTGTATAACACACTTCATGAAACCCCTAAAAGCATAACAGGGCCCCTTTAACTTCCACAAAATAGATACATTATTACCAACCATACAGCATTATGTGTGGTTTGTTCAGGGGGAAAAGCACTGGTTATCTAGAACAGGGGTTCCCAAAGTGGGGGTCGCGACCCCCGAGACCCCGAGTGGGGGTCACCAGATGATTACAAAAAAAAAAAAAAGATTAAAAAGAATAGATTAATTTTTTATAATTTTTTTTTAAAATTATTATTATTAATAACGTTTGCATAGACATTTTCAGGGGCGGACTAGCCATCTGTATAATTTCCCCGCAACGAGGCTCCCCCTTTCAGTGTTTCTCAAACTTTTCTCAAACCCCCCGTCGACAGGGGGTCGCCAGTCTCTGGCACTGTTATTTTGGGGGTCGCGGGCTGATACGTTTGGGAACCCCTGATCTAGAACAAGATTAGACAACTAAATGGCCTCTGCTTTTATTTGTTTTATCTTTTTTAAGCACCAGTACTGCTCGGAAGCTCCACTCTGGCATCATGTTCTGGTTGACCTTAAATGTGTGTGTGTGTTCTTCTGGAAACAGACCATCATTTAGCAATTAAGCTCCCTGTGTAGTGGAGAGGTTTCAGCTTATTTCGTTTTTCAGGTCATTAGAAATAACCCTAACACACATAATGAGCTGGAATTGAGATGGTTTGTTGCATCAGTGTGGCTTTGCAGCACTTTCCTTTCTCTGAGGTCATGCAGGCGTTCCTTGGTCATAAAACCACACACACACACTTTTATCACCCTCCTACGTGTGTGGAAACGTAAACATTCAAAGATTTTGTGATATCACGCTGTGAGGGCCATCAAAGTGTTAAAGAGCATGTGTGAAGGGAATTATCTGCTTCCTCACGTTTCCAAAGTTATTCCCTTTTTTCTCCATCAGAGGTATTTTTTGCACACATTGGTCCCGGCTGTCCTGCTGAGAGGATGTCGTCATGCCGTAATGTTGAGGGTCTGGTTTCAAAACATCTCCCGGGCTATCGAGTCGTTACCATGCAACTTTCTCTCAACATAACATGAAACCAAGGAGCTTTTTCTCATTAGACATGGTGGAGAACAGAGAAAAGAAGAAGTGGCCTTTGTGCCAACGCCAAAAACAAGAGAAGAAAGTTGCATCAGTAATATGTCTTCAAATGTGAGCAGCCAAATAAATGTGTGTGACTCAGATCTTGTGACCCAAAACCCTCCATAAACATGTTGTCCCTCTCCGATTTTATCTTTGGCTTTTCGGATTTGTGTGTTTACGACTTTGCCATCCCAAAATCCTTCTCGTTAATGTAATTAGGATTAAGTAGAACATCAGTAATGTGTTAAACTGGATCAGAACTCGTTTTCCCACGAACTCTTAAATGAAAACATTTTGGTTTTTTGTGTTTTTTAAGGTGACATTAGCATAAAGCAAATTATAGATAATCTCATTGTTAGAAACACAACCAAAAACATATTCATTTAATAAAGAGATTTAAGATAAACAATAACTTGCTGGGAGTCCCCACTTGTGGAATAACTACTGAGATCCTATTATTTTTGCAAAAACCACAAAAAAAACATTAAAAACTCTCGGAATTGTTAAAAGTATTCTTCTGCAGTAAATTGCCTCATGACCAATATTGATGAGTACTGATAATAATTTGTAGTTAAGTTAAGTAGTTTTCTTTTACATTTTAGCAAGGTGGAGCGATTTTTTGTCACAAAATAAGATTGTTTAGCAGTTAAGTTGAAGGGTTCTCAATATGTGGGTTAGGCCCTTTTCAAAAGGTTCAAATAGGATTGTGAAATTAGTGAAAGGGTACTGTAGGAAAGAAGAAAATGTGTATTTATTTTTTATATACTTTAATCATAACTTGTTGATATTTAGGAAAATGTTTCATCCTTAACACTGTGTTGCATGTCGGTGCAGTGGGTTGTGCGTTGGTGTTGGGATCAGGGGGTCACAGGTTCAAACCCCACTGCAGTCAGCATGTCGGTGTGTCCCTGAGACACTTCACCCCAAATTGCTCCTGTGGGGGTTGCCCACAGTATTGAGTATGTAAGTTGTTTTGGATAAAAGCTTCTAACAAGTAACATGTAATGTAATGTATTTTACAAGCTGACCATACGTTTTTTTATTTTTTTATATGAAGTTTAAACCATACAGTAAGTAAAGTTGTCAAATCAATGTAAAAGTAAAAAGTAAAATATCTGAGAGTATGCATAAGCCCGTATAAAAGTACCTCTAATCGTTCTGAGATAGAATTCTCCAGTGAAAAGCACTTACAGTAGTTACTTTCCATCCCTGGGAGTCCATACGTCATAAGCGGGCTCTCTGCTGCAGGTATTGGACGAACAGCAACATGCAGGGGCCAATTTAAACATCAGCCAAAGTGAAGACAGAATGTCCACAATATGTTCTCAGTAAAGCACAGAAAACCTCAAAGTGAGCCAGCCATGGAAAATGGTTTTGAAGTCGTAAAAATATTTAGGTCATCATTTAACAAAACAATACATTTAGAAAAAATAAACAACAGAAATTAGTGCAGACGACTGGATCGACATCTGCTCTGCATTAGAGGTTCTGGTTTGGTCCAGCTGACAGCAGTGATTGATAGTTAATGATACTCGATGTGGGGACTGAGTGATCAGTGAATCAACAAATCTCCAGAGATGGCAAAAGTACACACATCCTTTACTCAAGTAGAAGTACAGATACTCGTGTTTAAAAATACTCTGGTGAAAGTAGAAGTACTGACTAAACTTCTTTACTCAAGTAAAAGTAAAGAGGGCTTTGAAATGTACTTCAGTAAAAAGTACCCATAACTAGCAGCTGTTTTAAAGAGTACCTGACCTCCCTTTATATTAATAGAACAATAATGTCATTGTTAGCTAATGAATGTTTCCATGCTGAACAACGGCAACATGACAACGTTTTCATTGGTCCCTCTTCTTTAGAGAAGACCAGGAAATGATGGATACACGGATCGTGTTCAAATCAATAGGCACGCAATGACTCTAAATAATAATGATCACGCCACCAAACACACATTCAGACTAAAGGAACCAGTCTGTTTGGGAAATGAGAGAAGTAGAAAGTACAGGAATTTGGGTTCAACATGTAAGAAGTAGAAAGTACAGGTATTTGTGTTAAAAATGTAACAAGTAAAAGTAAAAAGTCGTCAGAAAAATAAGTAGTGGAGTAAAGTACTGATACCAGAAAGATGTAATTAAGTACAGTAACGAAGTATTTGTACTCCACTACTTCCCACCTCTGGGGATCAGTGAATCAACACATCTCTCACCCTCTCTTCTCTTTCTCCCCCCCTCCCCAGTCTCTCGTTCCCAGGTTTCCTCTCAGCACCAGCAGGTTCTGATGGAGAACGTGACCCGGATGTCGGAGCGCTCTCAGCGGCTGCAGCAGACTCTGGGCGAGCCGTCCACCCAGGCCGACCTGCTGGAGAACATCTGGAAACTGGAGAACCTCTTCCAGAACCACAGCGACTGGCTGCAGAGGCTGGAGAACCTCATCAAGGTAGGTCACAGGACAAAAAAAAAAAGAAGCAAAACAAGAGATTTCACAGAGCCGGGTTCAAGACCTGGGAACTGTCACAGGAAAGATATTCAATGACAGTATAATGTAATAGAGTTTTAAGGTCCTAAATGCACTTTTTACTTTAAAGCCATGTGCTTTTCATTATTCCTCTCCAATCATCATGTTGCTTGTATACATTGTTTTAGAGCAATTGTTGTTGAAAAACACAACAGGATTTTTTCTTGAATTTACGATTAAATAATCTCAGAATTATTATATTTGTTTTCATAAATGTACCACTTTAATCTCAGAGATTGTGCACATATTATTGGAGAAAAATAAAAGTGTTTTGGCATTACCCCCTCCCACGACTGTATATGTTTTAACTATAATGGACCTCATACACCACCACATTTCTAATTGATATTTATGATGAATGACTATTTCTGAATCCCTTTCACCACAGGGCCTGGAGGTGGAGCTGAGGAACCTCCAGTCTAATTCCCTTCAGTCGGAGGGCTACCTGGTGCAGCTGGACGACAGGTTGTCCTCCCTGAGCAGCTCCACCGGGAGGAACCTGACGAGCCTCAGTGTGGAGGTGACCCGAGCCTCCACCTGGCTCCACGACCAGGACCTCTTGTTCAGGTACAGCCAGAGGTGGGAAGTAGTGGGGTACAAATACTTCGTTACTGTACTTAAGTACATGTTTCTGGTATCAGTACTTTACTCCACTACTTATTTTTCTGACGACTTTTTATTTTTACTCATTACATTTTGAACACAAATACCTGTACTTTCTACTTCTTACATTTTTAAACCAAATACCTGTACTTTCTACTTCTTACATTTTGAAACCAAATACCTTTACTTTCTACTTCTTACATGTTGAACACAAATACCTGTACTTTCTACTTCTTACATGTTGAACACAAATACCTGTACTTTCTACTTCTTACATGTTGAACACAAATACCTGTACTTTCTACTTCTTACATTTTGAACCCAAATACCTGTACTTTCTACTTCTTACATGTTGAACCCAAATACCTGTACTTTCTACTTCTTACATGTTGAACACAAATACCTGTACTTTCTACTTCTTACATTTTGAACACAAATACCTGTACTTTCTACTTCTTACATTTTCCAAACAGGCTGGTTCCTTTAGTTTGAATGTGTGTTTGGTGGCGTGATCATTATTATTTAGAGTCATTGCGTGCCTATTGATTTGAACACGATCCGTGTATCCATCATTTCCTGGTCTTCTCTAAAGAAGAGGGACCAATGAAAACGTTGTCATGTTGCCGTTGTTCAGCATGGAAACATTCATTAGCTAACAATGACATTATTGTTCTATTAATATAAAGGGAGGTCAGGTACTCTTTAAAACAGTTGCTAGTTATGGGTACTTTTTACTGAAGTACATTTCAAAGCCCTCTTTACTTTTACTTGAGTAAAGAAGTTTAGTCAGTACTTCTACTTTCACCAGAGTATTTTTAAACACGAGTATCTGTACTTCTACTTGAGTAAAGGATGTGTGTACTTTTGCCATCTCTGGGTACAGCTTTATATTACAGTGAAGATGCTCATTTCCAAATGTGTAACTGCATCAGAATGAGGGCTGCAGAATTAAATAATATCTGTTTCTCTTCTCCTTCAGGGAAGCCTCAGGTCAGGTGAGCTGGCTGAGAGAGAAACTGGACGAGGTCAACTGGACGGTGGGAGCTGTCAATCACACCTTCAGCAATGACATCAGTATTCATCACCTGAAGATACAAGACTTACAGGTTAATCACAACGTACACAAAACAGTCCTACACATTGATGTTGCATTCACATGCTCCTTGAGCTTTACGTGGTTATGTGGAAACAATATGGAGATACAACAACAAGGATTATGACTAAGAACTTTTAAACAGTGATTATTCAAGTTGTTATCCAAGTATACTGAAATAGTTTGATGTTTTATATTAGTGATTTTGTCCTCGACTTGTTGCAACATCACTACATTATCTAAATCACTAATATACAGCTTGATATACAGAGTTAATGCCATTTTAAAAACTTTTTTTAACTAATGTAGCTCAACTTACAGCAACTAACGATTAAAACCTGATACCAAATAGCAAATTACATGTTAGCATTGATATGCAAACATAATAATAATGACATAATAAATGTTTTTACCATTGTACCAACCTGTATTTTTTTCCGAAAGTGATTTGCCACATTTATGAAAACTTTTTACAACGTTGATATTCAGGCTTGTAATTGGGGCATTCAAAGGAACAGGAACTTATGGAACACATGTTGTATAACTGTTGGAAGCACAAAGTCATCATTGATAAAGTACAGGAAATACACAATACTTTTAACCTGAGTTTTACTCCTTACTGCAGCACACTGATGAAGACTGCAGGTGTTAACACTCTCCTGTTCTCCTGCTGCTCAGATCCAGATCAGCAACATCACAGAGGACACCAGCAGCCTTTGGGTGACCCACGTCCACACGGAGGCCGAGCTGAGGAACGAGATGGAGATCCTGAACACCATCACAGAGGACCTGCGTCTGAAGGACTGGGAGCACTCCCTGGCTCTGAAGAACTTCACCATATTCGAAGGTCAGTCAAGAAAAAATATTCAGATCGTGGCTCTGAGGGCAAAAGAATAACGTTTATTTAACCAGCACTTGGCTTGATCCCAAATGAGGCAATTCAGTGTTTCTTTATGGCCTAAATGTGTCACAAGTCCAAGTACACCTCTTCCCCCAAGTGCCCCTGTGGTTAGCTGTGTGCGTGTCTAACGCCCCGTCCACACAGCAGCTTTAAAAAAATCTTATCCAACGCTTCTCTGCCCATTGACTTTGAATGGGGTGACGTCATTTTGCCTCGCTTTTCGCCGAACTGCATTGTGGGGAAGCAAAGCGAAGATTTCCAGGATTGTCAGGATTCAAAAGTTGAGCAATGTTCAACTTTTGAAGCTGAGGTGGAAGCGTCAGCCAATCAAATCCTGTTTATGCAAATCTGACAGTTTAAGCGCTAGCCAATCAAACCGCGTGCAAGCTGGGAGAGACATA